TAAGGCTATGTGTATACTGGGGAGCTTACAGCTATACTGGTGCAGCTGCACAGCTGTAAGATTGCTGCTTGCATAGCCACTCTGTGTAGACAAGAGTGAGTTCTCTTGTCAATATAATAAAACCATCTCCACAAGTGGCAGTAGCTATATCAGTGGGAGAAGCCCAATGAGAGAGTATTGGTCAGCATGGTCAACAGTGGTCTCTGCACACCAAGAGTGAATCTACATAGCATCCTTACCTTGAAATAAGCTACACAATTTGCTCTATGCAAATTATGTAGCTTATTTCAAAGTAATTTCAAATAAAGCACTATTTTGACAAATCCCTTGACCCCTGTGGAATGAGGGTTTACAGGGATGCTGGAATATCACACCTATTATTTCAAAATATATTTTGAAATAACTGGTATGTTTAAAGACGTGGAATTGCTATTTTGGGATACTAGAGGTATCTGTGCTGTGTAAACTTAGCCCAATAGCTGAATTGTTGTCAAAGTTTTGAAGGCATCATGGCAAAGGAGAATTTGAAGGAGTATCATGAAGTGGCTTTGCGGATCTTTACATGGAGCACTTCCCATACATGAAAGGCAGCAGAAAGTTTGAAGGTGCTTGTGAAAATCTAACAAGTGGGCAGTGCAGGCTGGCATCAGTGGCCTGTGGGAAGCAAGCATCAACAACTCAATAGTGAATGAGAAATGATAGAGTGGGGATTGACAGTGAAGGGTCTTGAAAGTGGAGACAAAGTTATGTCTGTGATAGAGAAGAGGAAGCCAGAAGAAGGATGGGGTAATACGGTTAAAGTAATGGGGTAGGAAAATTATTTTGGCAGCAATATTCTGAACAGGTATGAAAATGAGGCAAGATTATATTGGTCCAGGCCAGAGAGAAGGATGTTGTAGTAATCTAGATGCCAAATGATGGGAATGTATGTAGAGGTGATCTTTTTAGATGTGTGAATTGATGAGAAAAGCCATTTCTTCGAGTTATTACTGCAGAAAGAATAGGAATGATTTAGATGTAGTCTAGATGTGAGACCCAAGAATGAGGTTTGAGTTGAAGATGATGCCCAGGTTGCAGGCCCAAGTTCCAGGTGTTGTTCAGAGTGATTGAGAAATAGTAGTAGAGAGGTCTTTGACTGGTAAGAGGGAGAGTATGTTCTCTATTTTAGGCCTGTTGAATTTGAACTGATGGCTAGACAGCCACAAGAACATGTCGGAGAGACAAGCCAAGATTTTAGTTTGTACAGAAGGTACAACATTTGTAAAAAGACGTGAAAGGCTGTTTGCGTGAGTGATGAGTGGGAGTGTTCAGTTTGTGTCCTTTTAAACTTAATTATAATATATGAAAAGTTTGTTTGTAGTGGGGGGAGAAGGGGGCAGGAGAGGTTCCTTTTTTCCTTAGTATCAGAATTGCAGGTCTTCCTCCTTTCAAAGGCTCTGACTAGAGAGCTACTAACAGCATGCCATTGCAAATGTTGAGAAATGAAAATTGAGCAATTGAGGAGGGTTTTTTTAGCTACTGTTTAAAATATTTTTAATTAACAAATTTAACAACTATTAAATCCAATGCTTCACGACCAGTTGAGACAAAATATTCAGCTGTCTTCTCCAATGCCATTCAGTATAGATTTGAGAATTTTAAATTAATCTTTGAACCTCCTAAGAAAGTCCTCCAGCAACACCAGAGAAGATCAGTCTTGATATTCTTGATGTTTTAATATATTAAAAAAAAACTAATAAGAAACATCCCTTCTATAAACAAGATAAAAAGAGGGTGAGGCAAATCCTCAAGTTCTTGAAAGTGGGGAATAAGTTTCATATAATCATTAATGGATTAGAGAAAGTGCCCAGCTCCTCTCTGCTGACTACCACTTTAAACACAGCTTTTCACATGGGGCCATACTATAAAGTTTACAGCAAGGTAGAAGCCAAAATATCAACATTAATTTATCTAGTTTTGCTGAGAAGTTGAATAGAATTTTTCTGCCAATGGCTGCATTGAGCATGTTATTGCTAGTACTTATTGACCTTGTATGTTACAGAAAAAACTGTATTTCACTTACAGTACAGATGTCTGTATCCACAAAGCTACCTCACATTCTACCTTCAAATCCCTTTTCAAAACTTTTCTTTGTGATGCCTACAAAAAACATGATAATAGTTAGGTTGTTAGTGTGTGGGGGCCACTGCCTATCATCACCAGTACTGCCTCATTGTTTCTTTGTACTCTCCCATCTGTCTGGATCCATCTTGTGACTGTTGTCTTAGATTGTAAGCTGGTTAGGTCAGAGACTCATCTTTATGTTCTTTTTGTACAGCATTTCACATCATAATATGTAACTGAGTGCACTTCATTAGATGCTTTCCCCCCTTACGATACTCTGTGATGTCCCACAAAGAAAGGGCACACAAATATTTATATTAATTAGAGGAGCTGCTTTGAGGTAAAATTGTAATTGAGAGGATATGTGTAATGGAACAAGCTGCTTTGAGATGAAATTGTAATTGAGAGGATATGTGTAATGAAACAGAACCTGGGACCACTGTGCATGAGCCTCTATTCCATGAGCTAAAAGCCAGCTCTCTCTCAGCTAAGGCTGTAGAGCAGACACATTATTTTCTGTGTAAGTGGTCTTGGTGCAACTAGGGGTGTGGGCTACATATGCCTGTCAGAAAAATTTTACTACTTAGGCTGTACTATCATTTGTGGAATAATTTCTGTTTTCGTGATCTCTTTGGGGCACCAAAGGCACTAGTTAGTAAGTGCTGGATGGCTGTCATGTTATACTGAATATGCAAAGAGAATGGAGAATAAAGGTGCAAGAGGAACAGTGCCTGCAAAAACTAGCATACCTCAAAGTTCACAAGGCAGATAGTTACGTCTTCCTGCTAATATTCTGTCCTGGGATATTTCATTCTGCTCTCAGGTGCAAGCTTCTTGCACATGGCAGCAGTAGTGGAAATGAGCTGTTGTCTGTGCTTGACCTGCAGTTTTAAACACCCAAAACAAATATGGGTAGTGGAAACATGTCAGATTCTTCAGCCTTGGGCCCTGAGTCTGCATGCTGCTTTAGGGAAACCCCTGTGCCTGCACAAAATCTCATCGTGGGACACCATGCAAATACAGGAGTTCACTATCAGAGATGGGTCCCATGACTGTACTTAAAAGAAAGCAGACTTGCCTTTAGCAAGGCAGTCATTTAGGAATGGCCCATGCAGCATAAGTCTAGTCTGATTTTTAAGAGACACCATTAAATTAAAAATTACTCTCTAGAATTTTTCCCTAATATTCTTGCAAATAACACACCTAAAATTAAAGAAAACAAATACGTCTTTCATTGTTTTATTTGCTGTCTTTGACAGCATTTTTTTTATATAAATAGAAGTCAGTTTCTCCTGTAATTTGGGGTGCTGTCTTTGACAGCATGGAAGAGAAAATGTGTGTTTGGTTTTTTTTTGTTTTTTTGTTTTTTTTTTTAAAGAAAAACTGGCAGGAGGGACTCAAGAACAGGCTTTGAACCTGAAAAAACTTTTAACTATTTTTGCAGTTGATTTGACTGTACAGTGAGTGACTGTCACTCAATTCTTCTATTTGCTTTTAAGAAATACTAATACTTTACTTTCCTCTTGTGTAAATCCTAAGCACTTTAAATAGGCATCTGTTTATACCTGTCTTACAGAGCAGAAAATCAGTTTTGCTAATGTTCACAATTTTACATGTAATGTTTTTTCTTAAAACCTCCGCTTCAACCCTTGGAGACAAATGATTATGAGAATGTTGGCTTTTGTATTTTTTAAAGGGAGTTTCTGGTCCTCATGATTGCTGAGAAAAGCTTGAAAATGTGCCCCAAGTGTATTAAAAAAGCTCAAAAACAAGAGGGTAAATAAAAATCAGCAACCAGAAAATGCATATATGACTTTTAAGTATCATGATTATTTGGGGGTCCCAATTCAAGTTTTTACATGAGTTGGGGTTGGCAATGCTGAAAGCTAAACTGATCTTAGGCAAGGCATCTGAGCAGTGAATCGGCAGCAGAGTTGTTGAAACCCCTGTTCTGACTGTCCAATTTCCTGTGCTATCTCGGGCTCTGCCTATCCCACGTGTATGTGCATCTTTTCATTTGCCTCCCCTACCTGCACCTGGAGAGTTTGTAAACCAAACTGTTTGGTGAGCATAACATCCCAGAAGGGGGCCTGCTGGAAATTTTGTCTGACCTATGCACCTCAATTACCAGTTGTGATATGCTAATTTCTGCATATATAGCTGTTGTGAACAGAGACAGTTGCAAAGCGAGTCATTCATGTTAAAATTCGACACTTGCCAACAAGGACTTAACAAACATTTGAACTATCTCACCCATTACCAAGACAGTTTCCCCAATTATCACCTCTAATACCATTAACTCACAAACATCCCACTCTCCCTACCTCTAATATCATCAATTCACAGACACTTACCTTCCTTCCTTCCCCCCCCATCCCCCTCCTGTTCTGCAATGTGATTTGTCCTTTTCATATTTGTTCATTTTTTTAATTGTATCCTTTGGTATATATGGTTGTGACTACTTTCTTCCACTATTTGATCTGAGGAAGTGGGTCTGGCCCACGAAAGCTCATCATCTAATAAACCATCTTGTTAGTCTTTAAAGTGCTACATTGTCCTGCATTTTGCTTCAACTACCCCAGACTAACACGGCTACATTTCTATCAATAAACTGCATGGGTATTCTTCGAGGGCAAAACAGTTTTCTCCAGAAGTCATCGTTTTGGTGTAGTTTGTAGAGATGAACACTGTGGGCTAATTGGATGGTCTTGTGTGTGTCTCGCCCCCTCCCTCCGGGCCTTTCAAATCGAACAGTAGGGCACGTGAGAGAGAAAGGAAAAGCGATTATGTAGAGCTAAAATATGCTGGAAATCCCCGGCTCTGTGGAGTTGCTAGGTGGTTTTAAACCCCCTTCGCTGCCTTATTTGACAACGGGAAGTAGGAGTGGCCCAGGCCTGCTTGAGTAGGGAGGGAACGGCGGGGAGATGGCTGCGCACTGAGGCAGTTGTGCTGATGAAGTGGAAGAGCTGGTTTCAGTTCAGTATAGCCGTGCATGTGTGTTTAGGAGGCGGGTGCTCCTGGTTTCCTTGCCTGGGAGTTGTGCAATCCTTTAGATCGGAGAAAGCGCCCTTCCTCACTGCTGCCCGCCACCGCCTTGTGGCTTTTTTTTTTTTTTTAAAGCTGTGAGCTCAGCCGATGAGTCAGAGCCATGCAATCCTGACACTGCATCGCGGGACTGGAGGTGAGAGAGAATCAAAAACAGGGGCTGTAGATTGCAGCCAAGTACAGTGTAGGACTTTGCTCGTGCACAGAAGGGGAGCTGAGTAGTGGCCACTTCGTGGGATATTCTGGATTGCAAGAGAACTTCCTGCTGCTTTCCTGGGAGCGCTGGAGACCGGGGCTGGAAAACGCGTTTGTGCCGTTTTTGGGAAGTGAAGAAAAACACAGACGGGAATCGCTCCGTTGCATAATCTTGACAACGTCTGTCTCATATTAGGACGAGGTAAATTGAAATCTAGAGTTCCTATAAATTCCAAAGGGCCTGTACTTGCTCCTAATTGAGACTAGACTCAACACCATGGTGGAGAGAAGGCTATTTGAATCATGGCTGTGGTTTTTGCAAGCCTAAAGGTTTGCAGCAAGGAGCTGTGGGGGATGCAGGAAATGGGGAGATTGAGTGCTTGGTAACTTTGCTTTTTATTTTTATTTATTTATTTTTTGCCTGTATACACGCAAGCTGCGTGTGTGCAGCTACGCAGTTCAGCCTGCTAATGGACTGCTTCAACAGGAAGATTGTCTTAGTGTGTAAACTTGGTACAGAGAATTCTGGCTAATCTTCATTTTAGTGAAATGTGGTAAATTGCCCTTTGGGTGGGAAATTGCTTATGGTATGAGAACAGAAACGTGGATCAAATTGCATTGTTGTTATAATTGATAACTGCTCCTGTTTTTGTGCATGCAATTTAAAATGTGTTCTAAATTTGTAGAGTAAATTTAGTGTTAATGAACATGAGGGGCTTATGTTTAATACAGGTAAGAGCTGTGCAGTACAAGATTTCCTTCACCACCAGCCTCCCAAGTCTCTATGACGTTTATCTTAATCCTGAGCTATAGATGCTTATATCCTAATTTTGGACTTTTGAGTGCAGATTCTTAAGTGTGACAAGCAGGGTAGGTTTAGGTATGTATAAATAATTAATAGGACATGCCTTGCTTGTTTTCTGATAGGGTATCCAAGTCCCTCTGGAACAGGTTTCTGTGTGCTTTTGGCTCGGCTTCTGAAATCTCCATGCACTTGGATATTTGATTGCAGTAACTGCAAGCAGGTATCCAAATATTAGATACTTGTGCAGGGAAACTGATTTCAGTACTTGAGATCACTTTCAGATCTCAACACTAGCATGGACTGCCCTGGTTTCAGTATCCTACAAGAACAGAGCAGCAACAATGGATAATAAGATTTTTGCTAGTCAGTTTACTTGTAGTTAGAAACATGATGCAAGGTAGGGAGGGTTAAAGTGAACCAATTCGTAAGTTAGGTAATTGCAGTAATTTCCTGCTCCCAGAACACTGTAAAGTTCCTCTGATGGCTATGTACTTAGTTGGGAGCATGATTAGGGCCTGTATTTGTGAGTGTCTCATTATGAATGTGGACATACTTGTCTCTGAATTGCTGGACTGTAAACATGTGCAATTCTAACATATCTCTGTTCCTTGGGGTGTCTGGAAGCTAGTTTGTCTATTTTGAGGGTTGAGAGGTTGCAATTGCACTTTGTGGTGAGAGAGAGAAACTATTCTATCTTCTGAGTTCGGGAAGTAGTGATTACATTGGGGTAATGTACAAGCTGGATCACTACTCAAAAGCACTATCTTGCTTATCTAAAAATGTTTCTCCTTTCTTAAATGACCTCCTTGTGCACTTCATATATCCCTCAAAAGTTTTGATCTGTGTTTCTATCTATTAAGTTAAAACGAATGTGTTTTTATTAAATTTAAGTGCAGACATCCCTTTAGATTGCAAATACATTCATGGCAAGGATTCGGTCAGACCATCTAACACTGGTATATAGAACATATGGCTGCCCAGACAAAATTAAGGCATATTTCCTTCTGAGGAGAGACTGGAATAATGAATGCTGTGTGCACAAGCTGTTGCCCAGTGGAGTGGACTCAATTAATGTTCCTGGATCTTGTGACAGGACTTCCTCGATATGTGCCCTGCACATTACTCGCATGAAGAGCCTAATGTATCAGTTGTGGTCCATTAACAGTGTGAGCAGGAGTGCCAAAAAGAAATTGGTAGGACCCATTCTAAACCCGTTTCAGCTCCAATATATAGTATACCATATCCTTAATTTAATATGAGCTGCAGTCCCTGCTGAAGACTGGCCCTAGACTGGAATAGAAAAGGTGTTCAAGGTCAGTATTCTGGCATCTTAATAAAGCTGTGGGTTAGAACTAGGTAGGCTAACAGAGGAAGGGAGAGTCTACTGATTAGAGTGCTATCTTAAGACCTGAGTAACCTTAGTTTAGTTCCCTGCTCTGCTACAAACATCCTGCTTTGTCTTGGGCAAGTCACTTAGCAATTCTTTGCCTTAATTTCCATCTGTAAAGTGGGAATAATAGCACTTCGTTATGCTATATAGGTGTTTTAAAGATAAAGCTATTATAGAATCAGGTGTACAGATACAATTGTGATGAGGGTTGTATAAGTATCTAAAGTAGAAAGAGGATGCTACAGTTCAGGAATGAGGTGCATTGGCAGTAGGGCAACAAGCAAGATTGCTAAATAGTCAGAATCCTTGTTAATGTAACACTGGATTCACTCAAATGTTTTCGTTGTCATTTCCTTCAGCCTGCAGTTTTAGAGAGCTCTTGGAAAACCGACAAAGGGAACATTAAAGAACAGACCTGCAAAGTCTTTAAATCATTATTTGAAATCATCAGTAACTCAGTCAGAAGTTATGGGTCTGTTACTAGAGTGAGTGGGTGAGGTTCTGTGGCCTGCAGTGTACGTGAGGTCAGACTAGATCAGTGGTTTTCACAGTTGGGTCCCGGACCCTCCCAGGTATCCAAGTGTCCTTAGCCATGGAATCTTGCCACTCAAATTTGGCAGTGATTCACTATTTCCAGTCAAGGGGAGCTGTGGGAAACAGCACAGCCTGGGCCACTCTTCCTGCAGCTCCCCTTGTCTGGAAATAGCAAATCATAGCCAATGGCAGCTGCAAGGCTTTGTGACTATGGACGCTTAGATAAACAAAGTGTTGCGGGCCCGCCAACAGCTTACCTGGGTGAGCCCACAACCCAGCTTTGAAAACCACTGGACTAGATGAATGTGGTGGTTCCTTCTGGCCTTGAAATCTATGAGCACTAGTTGGAGAGCTTTAGCACTAGTTGGAGAGCTTTAGCACAATGCTGTCATAGTGACATTAGAGCTTTTCTGTAGATTACAATAGCTAGGCATGTGTGTGTAGTTAGAAAAATGTTGCAAGTATACTGAAGCGCTATGATATCGTTAGGGTATATTACTTACACAAGAAGTAAATAGCAGGGGACTCCCAACGATCTGTTGTGGAACCATTGCTGTTCAACATATCCATAAACTATCTGAAAACAGGCAAACAATGAGCTGGCAAAGTTTGCAGGTGATACAAAATTACTCAAGATCGTTAACTTTAAAGCTGACTGCATAGAGTTGTACAGGGATCTAACAAACTAGGTTACTGTGTAACAAAATGGCAGAATAAATTCAGTGTTGATAAATACAAAGTAATGCACCCAGGAAAATATAATCTTAAGTACAGGCAGTCCCCGGGTTACGTACAAGATAGGGACTGTAGGTTTGTTCTTAAGTTGAATCTGTATGTAAGTCGGAACTGGCGTCAGCCGCTGCTGAAACTGATCAGTTTCAACCGCGGCTGAATCTGGATGCCAGTTCTGAATTACATACAGATTCAACTTAAGAAACCCAGGCGTCCCCAAGTCAGCCGCTGCTGAAACTGATCAGCGGCTGATTCCAGGAAGCCTGGGGCAGAGCAACGAGGGAGACAGAGAGCAAAGCCACTGAGCATGCCCGCGGCTTTGCTCCTGTCCTCCTGGTCTGCTGGGGGGGTCCAGCAAAGCTGCTGGACCCCCCCAGCAGACCAGGGACACCAGAGCAAAGCTGCCGCCTGGGCGGCTTTGCTCGTTTGCCTGGGAGCAAAGCCGCCCAGGTGGCGGCTTTGCTCGGGTGTCCCTGGTCTTCTGGGGGGGTCCTGCGGCTTTGTTGGACCCCTCCAGCAGACCAGGGAGACCAGGAGAAGCTTTTCTCGCCCCAGAGGAGACG